TTTTAATATTTATTTTTCTTTAGTTTTCGGCGGACACAACATCTTTGTATGTGGTGCTGAGGATCGAACCCGGGTCGCACGCATGCCAGGCGAGCGTGCTACTGCTTGAGCCACATCCCCAGCCCCAAATATTTTTTTTTAAAAAATGAAGTTCTTAAAATTTTTGACTTTTGGGCTGGGGATGTGGCTCAAGTGGTAGCGCGCTTGCCTGGCATGCGTGCAGCCCCGGGTTCAATCCTCAGCACCACATACAAACAAAGATGTTGTGTCCGCCGAAAACTAAAAAATAAATAAATATTTAAAAATTCTCTCTCTCTCTCTCTCTCTCTCTCTCTCTCTCTCTCTTTAAAAAAAAAAATTTGACTTTTAAATTATAACCTTTAAAATGTATGTTGAAAAAACAGGCTTTTTTTAAAACACAAAAGCCTGGTTTTGGTTTGTCATTATCCAAAAGAGACATTTTTAGGTAACAATAATAAAAAAAAATACTGTATAGATAATGCCAATAGTTCTAGTTATTTGGTCAGTGGGCAAAAGGCAAGCTCTAATGGTCTTCAGGTCCAATCTTTTGTTCATTTTTTACTGCGGGAATTTTATTTTCAATTATTGTTGGATGTCTTAAACTGGATGGTAAATAAGCCTGCATTTTACTTGCCTTCTTTTTTTTCTTCTTTTCTTCTTCTTTTTTTTTGTGCTGGGCATCAAACCCAGGGCTTCACACATGTTAGTCAAGCACTATGATGCAAGCTACACCCCTGGCCTCCTTTGTTGTCTTTAAAAAATATCCAAGAATATGGGCTGGGGTTGTAGCTCGGTTATAGAGCCCTTGCCTTGCACATGTGAGGCCCTGGGTTCAAAGTACTACATAAAAATAAAGATGTTGTATTGTGTCCATCTACAAGTAAAAAAAAAAAATAATAATTATCCAAGAATGTAACATAACTTATTAATAGAGCATTTAGATACCGAGTGCGTGGCACATGCCTATAATCCTAGCAGCTCCAGAGGCTGAGGCAGGAGTTTAAAAAGGCAAGGCACTAAGCAACTCAGTGAGACCCTGTCTCCAAATAAAATACATACAAAATATGGCTGGGGATGTAGCTCAGTGTTGGAGTACCCTTGAGTTCAATCTCAGTACCTTGTACCAAGAGTACAACAGTTGAGTTAAATTAAGAATATCATTAGGTAATGTCTTAGTAATTATCCAAGTCCAAGGGGATATGAAACAACAAATATAGGTCCTGAAGATTCCTAAGAATTACTAATGTGTGGGTTGGGTATTTAGCTCAGTGGTAGAGGGCTTGCCTAGCATGCACAAGGCCCTGAGTTTGGTCCTGGCCCCTGAAAAACAATTACCAATATGGAGTAGGTGTTCTTAATTAAAAGATTTTAAGCAATGTATAGCTTTAGTGGGGGAAGGTAGTAGTTCAAAGATTTAATATCTATTATACTTAATGAACCATAATCTTAGCAATTTTCTTTCTGATTGATTTGACCTAAGCATAATTATCTAATTTTTCTCCCACTCCTCTTTTGTTTGAAAAAAAAAAAATTTTTTTAAACTTAAGAGTTGTGAAATATCAAATACATTCTGATTTCTGATTTCTTTCTCCATAGTTAATCACCAAAGCTGAAAAGATCAGACTGGCAAAGACTCAACAAGCAAGTAAACACATTAGATTTTCCGAATATGATTGAAAAAATTAAAGTTCACCTCTTAATTTCACTGGATACTTACTTAAGTGATTCTGGGAAAATCCATTTTTATTATGGTAGTACTATATAATGAATGTATTTCTAAAATCTGCATTTAATTAAAAAACTTTGATCCTTAAATTGTGTAAATAAGCTTTTTTTTTCATAGACAGAAATGCACTATATGCCACAATTTATCATTAAATGCTTTATTTGTTGAAATTACATAAGTCAGCCTCAACTGGTTTCATAAATAAATGTTTTGGACATTATTGTTAATTGCTTTTATTTACAAAACAAATACATACTTGCAAAAATAAAAATAAAAGTACCTGAATATAAAGTTCAGAAAACTGTAGTATGCTCACTGTACTTACTATTTTGAACAATTTATTTTTCATTTCAAATACCTTGGATGTCTTTTCATGTTGATGCATGCAGACATGTATGTGTAATAAGTGAGTGTATTTATTGTTCTTTTCCATTGAACAAAAGGTCATTATGAACTGTTTCTAAAAAAAATATTGAGTTTGTTTTTCATAAATATGTGCTTAATTTGATAAACAAAATAAAATATTCCAGGCTTTTCATTTTGACTAAACAAAGTAAAAGGTACCAGGTGATATGGGGAAAGATCTAGGAATCAACCTTAGACACAACTGAGGTCTGTCATTTTCTTAATCTCAGTCAATTTAGAATTTTCTCTTGAAGCAGAGTAAAATTGGGGCTGAGGATGTAGGTCAGTGGTAGAGTACTTGCTCACATGCAGAAGATCCCTCCAAGTTTGATCCCCAGCACCAAAAGGTTGAGTCAAAATTCTGGGGGCTTATGCATTATTGCTTTGGGGGAACCCATTGCCCTCAAGTCACTGAGAAGGCCACCATTCAAAATAGTTCTGAATCAGGAGTTCATTTCAAGTGTGAGTGTATGATTGATATATATACACACACACACAATAAATAAAATATCACTTGTGCCAGGCACAGTGGTGCACGCCTGTAATCCCAGTACTGGGAAGCTGAGGAAGGGGGATCCTGAGTAATTTATAGAGGCTGCAAGCAACTTATGGAGATCCTAACCACATCCCAGCCCTATTTTGTATTTTATTTAGAGACAGGGTCTCACTGAGTTGTTTAAGCACCTCGTTTTTTAATGACTCTCCATCCTCCTGCCTCAGCCTCCCCATCTGCTGGGATTATGGGCATGGGCCACTGTACCTAGCTAGACCAGATTTCTAAATAAAAAAGAAAGAAAGAGCTAGAATGTGGCTCTGTGGTTAAGGTGCCCCAGAGTTTAATCCCTACTATTAAGAAGAAAAAAAAAAGTTTCCATTGTTCCTGCATATTTGGCTTTTTTTTTTTTTTTTTTTTTTTTTTTTTAATTGGGGATTGATCCCAGGGGTGCTTTGTGAGTGAGCTACATTCCCAGCCCTTTTTTAATTTTATTTTTTATGTTGAGACAGGGTCTCAATAAATTGCTGAGACTGTCCTCAAACCTGGGAACTTCCTGCCTCACCTTCCCAAGTCACTGGGATTACAGATGTACACCATCACACCTGGCTCTCATGGCACTTTTTTTTTTTTTTTTTTTTTGGTACTGAGGATTGAACTCAGAGGTGCTTCACCAATGAGCTACATTCTTTTTGTTTTTTATTTTGGGACAGAGTCTCATTAAGTCTTTCTTTTTTGGGAGAAGGGGATGTGAGAGGGTTCTGGGGATTGAATTTAGGAACACTCACCACTGAGTTACATTACCAGCCCTATTTTGTATTTTATTTAGAGACAGGGTCTCACTGAATTGCTTAGCATCTCGCTGTTGCTGAGGCTGGCTTTAAACTCGCAATCCTCCTGGTCTCAGCCTCCAAGCTGCTGCTATTACAGGGGTGCTCCACCGTGCCTGATTTTGTTAAATTTCTTAGAGTCTCACTAAGTTGCAGAGGCTGGCCTTGCTATCTCGATCCTCAGCCATTCCATTTGCTGCCATTACAGGCATGCACTACCATCCCAGGCCCTCATACTGCTTCTGGACCATGCTCAGGACACAAAAATAACTTGGGACTTTTTGTGATGTGGTGTAATTTACTGGGCTCATGGTGATTATTGATTCATTTATTTTCACCTGTCATTCAGAATAGGAATGGTTTTATACAGAACCCAGGAACATATTTAAAGAATGAAGTATGTGCCAGCATGGTGGTGTACGCCTGTAATCCCAGTGGCTCCGGAGGCTTAAACAGGAGAATCACGAGTTCAAAGCCAGCCTCAGCAATGGTGAGGCACTAAGCAACTAGGTGAGACCTTGTCTCTACATAAAATACAAAATAGGGCTGGGGATGTGGCTCAGTGGTCAAGTGCCCCTGAGATCAATCCCCAGTACCAAAAAAAAAAATGAATGAAGTATGTTAGAGCAAGTGAAAAAGAAATCTTGTTATGAATCTTGGTTGCAACAAGTAGAAACCAAAGGCTGGGGGTGTGGCTCCCTGGTAGAGCACTTGCCTTAACAAGTGTGAGGCAGTGGGTTCGATTCTCAGCACCGCATATAAATAAAGTCCATTGAGAACTAAAAAAAAAGTAGAAACCAAAACTAGATGAAGCAAAGGAAAAAAAATATCCTGAGAATACTAGGGAGACAGATGAAATATAAGGGAGAACAATATCAATAATAAACCTCTCTATTTCAAACTATTTCACAAAGAGAGCAACCTTTTTTAAAGAGACCAAAGGTTAATTCAGCATCTACCCCACCAATACTTTTATAAATGTAAAGACAAGAAAATAGTTTAGGAGCCCAGGCTGCTGTAGACCTCTCAATAGAGTTCCTAAAGAGGCCACCTTGAGTTTCTGAGCAGTTGAGTTATCGCAGTGTTCTCCAAACTCACAAACTCAGTTTAAAATTCCTAAATTCCAGTCAGGTGCAATAGCACATGCCTGTAATCTCAGCAACTTGGGAGGCTAAAGCAGAAGGATCGCAAATTCAAAGCCAGCTTCAGCAACCTAGTGAGGCCCTAAATAATTTAGCAAGACCTGTCTCAAAATAAAAGAGTTAAAGACATATAGCTCAGTGGTTAAGGACCCCTGCGTTCAATCCCCAGTACCAAAAAAAAGAAAAATAGGACAGAATCTGAAGGATCAGGCCTGGGGCCCAGAGCATGATCAATGTGGCAAGAAAAACAGGCAGGGTCTCTGAGTACCCTTAACAGGACTACAGATTTTTGAATAATTTTTTTTTCTTTTTTTGTGTTGTTTTGGGGTTCAGGGCCTTGTGCATGTGAGGCAGGCACTCTACCAAGTGAGCTATATCCCTAGCCCCTTGAGTAATTTTTTTTAAAGGAGAGCAAAGGTTAACTCAGCATCTACTCCACTAATACTTTTATACATGTAGAGATAAGAAAAGAGCATATGTTGATCCCCAGTGCAGCAAAAAAAGAAAGAAAGAATGTTAAAGGGGAAAAATAGGTCAGTTTCAGAACAGCATGAAGAATCTCCGCAGCTGAAGAAGGCTGGTTTAAAAAAAGGTAGGAAAAGACAATGGGATAGGTTGAAGTATCAATCTATAGACACTATCATGATATCATACAACAGACTTAGGAATTTGCCCCTAGGCCATTGAAGGTCTTAACCCTGGGAACAATATCTTAAAATTTCAGTCTAATAAAACCAGCATTAAAATATCACTATTTAAAGAAGAAACAGGTATCAGTAAAGCAAGATTGGAAAGCCATTAGAGGTCTGGGTGTATAGGTCTGTGGTAGAATACCTGCCTAGGATGTGTAAGGTCCTGGGTTAGATCTCTAGCACCAAAAAAAAAAAAAAAAAAAAGCCACTTGGATAATTCACTCATGAAAAAAATAGATTTCTAGTAAATATACCAATAGGTAAGAATACCTGGGGCTGGGTTGGGGTTGTAGCTCAGAGGTAGAGTACTTGCCTAGCATGCGTGAGGCACTGGATTCGTCTATCCTCAGCATCACATAAAAATAAAGTAAAGGTATTGTGTCCACCTATAAATAAATAAAATGTTAAAAGAAAAAAAGAATTTACCTTAATGAGTTATTCTCACTCCAGGGGTGTACATAGATACAGTATAGCTCACAAACAGTGAATCACTTCCTGTGGTCCCACTATTCTTACCAGAACCCAAAGAAAGAAATAAGGGTTAAAGCTGCACATGGTGGTATAATGTCTGTAGTTCCAGCTACAGGTTGAGACAGGAGGATTATTTAAACCCAGAAATGGAAACTAGCCTAGGCAACATAGTGAGACCCTGTCTCAAATAAAGGGGGGTAGAGTGTTATATATGTGTGTTCAAATGTTTGTGCATGAGAGATTTTACTTTTATAAAATGTATATTTATGTAAAAATGTTCAGTGAGGCTAGGAAAATTGTTCAGTGGTATAGAGATTGCCTAGAATGTGCAAGGCCCTGGGTTAAATCCCTAACACCACAAAAACAAATAAAATTGTATATATTATTCCATTGCATGTGAGTTGTATATAAATGTGTGTGTGTATAATGTGTTTGTATATTTACAAACATGAGTATCGAAAAACATTGATTTTTATGTACACCATTCACTGTGATACTGTGATATGTTCATTTCCTTTTTGTTTTGTTTTGTTTTTGGTGGGGAAGTAAGGTGAAATTCTAGTGATGGAACTCAGGGCCTTGCACATGATAGGCAAGTGTTCTACCACTGAACTATACCACAACCTCCTATGATATTTTTCTATTTAATTATTTCTATTTAAATATTGATTGTAATCCATGTTTTGGAAAAAAATACTATCTCAAACCAGCATTAAAATATCACTGTTTAAAGGAAGAAACATGCAAATAATGGCATTGCCAGGAATAATAGTCACATTCAACAAATCAATAATTTCCAACAAAAGAGAGAAAAGGAAGAAAGTTCCAAAGAAAAGGAAAATAATGTTGGGAATGCAAGGCCTGAGTCAGAGGAAGAACTAGCAAGCCTTGATGACCGATCAGATCAAATGCTAATGAGTAGAAGCTATTTGTGAGATTTTGGGCTACATGGTAAAAAGTGGCAGTTGATTAAAAAGTGGAAGGAAAGAAGGAAGAAAAAATGGTGGAGGAATGCTGACTTTCAGGAGGTGGGCAGCTGGTGGTTTTGGGGTGTGG